CCATTTCAAACATTATGTTTTTCTTTAATGTTTGCTCCTGCCCTTAGCTTGTATATTGTAGTTGAAGCTTCAGACGTCATTGTTGCATTAAACGCCTCGTTGACTTAAGTTGACTGCTAAAGCTTCCTGAGGACTACCAGCGTTGAACTGAAGGTGTAAGGCCTAACACTGAACCATTCTTCTGCCTTTACAACAATACAAACAATGCGCAGTGAGTATGGAGGACGCAATTACTCCTTGAGTTCATTGTGTTCTTTGAGTTGCAGAGAACAGGAGGGATATCCATTAGCAACCCCAACTCTTTAGTATCATACTAGGTTTGATGGGTTTCGTTGCGTTACAACATTCCTCTTGAGTTCTTCCTTATTACAGCGACCGCCGCAAACCCATCGTTTTTAGCTAATATTAGTCTAGCAGCTACTTGAAACCTTTTTTGGATAGTACGCATCCAATTTCTTCCGGCAGGCTGTTCCAATCCTTTACCGCCGTAGTAGATATGGTGACATCCATGTGCATTCTTTGTCTTCTTTGGTTAAATGGTTTCCATGGATGACGCCGTGTGGAACAGTCAGCGCTAGGCCGCAAGAACTTTTTAACTCACTTCTAAGTTCCCTTCGAAGGTTGCGCTTAGTGTAGAGGAGATCACCCCGGCGACGGCAGAACTACAGGGAGAACAGATTTAGCTGCTGTAGTAGAATGGGGTAAGGGGGCTCACGAAGCCCCAGGACCGCTTCCGACGCACGTCTCACAACTTTTCCGGCAGAGCGTATTCAGACTTTGATAGCCGGTGGATAGCTGGTAGGCCATATTTTAAGATTGGACGTACGTACAAATTAAATAAAGGTCGAAAAATCTTGCGAGACACTTGAGTTAATGATCTTGTTAAGGCACCCACCAGTCTCCTCCCAGTGGCCACCTTCAACGTGTCCTGCGTCGTTATAAGGTCAAAAGTCACGATAATTCCGTGCTCACTCTCGTGAGATGTATTCCGAAGGAGAAACCTACCACCGTGGTATGCATCGAACGGTTGAGTCTCATCCACTGGATGAACAGCGCATTTATTGCGGTTTACTGGCAATTCCCACTTGATGAACCAGTCGTGCAGCATTCTCAGAGCTGGACACTGTTTACCAAAGCTTGATGTCATTGGCCTAGATCAGACAGTCACTTTGAAGTGCAGTCAGCAGATTGTTAATGTACAGTTTGAATAGCTCTGGTTCAAGCCCTGATCCCTGTGAAACGCCACTAGTCATAGGCACAGGATTATAGAGGGTTTGGCTAAATTGTACGCGCATTATTTCGCCACGTAAGAAATCAGCCATCCATGAGAGACTCCTTAAGGTAATACCAATTCCCTGGAGTTTATGTACCAGTTGCACGTGTGAAAGTTTAGCAAAGGCTTTACTGAACTCAATGAATTTTACGTCAACATGTTTCCGGACGTTTATAAATAAATAAATAAAAAAATAAAAAATAACTCTTTTATTCGCAACAAGGTGAGGCACACCTTTACAGGCATGAGCATTTTGACGTAACGGTGCATGATTAAGAATGTGCAAAACTCCGATGTTTTCGCCATAGCAGTTTGTGTTTGTGCAGGGGGTATGAATGCATGTCATTGTGTGTATGTGTATGTAGCTGTGTATTTTGTGCTTGTAGTTGTGCTGCTCCAATCTTCAATGTTTGTTATTGTCATCAATATGCGAGTAGGAGGTTGGTGTCCGTGGGTTGGAGAGAATTATCCGGATATCCACGGGGCAGTGACTTCATTTTGTGGCGAGTCACGACCGCCACGTCACAGTGTTGTTAAGCAGACATTTGTGGCTTTTTAAAGGGAGAACGCTTGCCAGGCGAACCCCACCACGTCCTGGAACATTGCCACCGAACTATTTGCTGGAACGAGTTAAACCCGAACCACCCAGCCGACACCACGAGGAGGTTGTACGGCTAGCCAGCCAGGTTTCCCTGACGATGAGTAAGTTAACGATTCATGACCACGCCATCCGGGGGCCAGTTTGGGCGTGTAAGAGGAGGTTTAGTTTCACACAATGTAGCAGTAGGGCGTACTTAACTATTCGTCCCACGATTATTCCTACGGCTGTGGTCAAGCACATGGGCGAGTAGTTCGTTAGGCCTCCTTGGTTTTCACCCTTGTATTTGGACAAGGCGGTACCTACATTTTAGCTTCTGGGTAGGCAGCCGAGTTTGTGGGATTGCCGAAATACTCGGCAGAGAGGGGCGTCGACGTACTAAGCTATAGCTTTGAGAAAGCTAAAATGCAATTCGTCTTGGCATGCAGGGGAGTTCGGGTAGATTTCGAGGAGTAGCTTAGTGACAGCCTCGAGGTTAATTGCACCTTGATCAATAAAGGAGTAGTGTGCAGGCAAACAGTTGTTAAGCAGCGAAGATTCCAATGAGTAGCTCGAGGAATATTTCGCAGCCAGTAGGTTTGCTTTTGCATCATCGCCGTAGAGAACCGTAACTTACTTAGAAGAGGATAGAGCGGGAATTCCACCACCCGATTTGGCATTTCGCCTCAGGTAGGTAAAACGATTTTGGGACAGTTTTTGGATTCCATGGCCAGTCCAGGTTCATATTGTAGTTTGTTTAACGCATATTGCTCTATGTGCTTTGTTCGTTTTCACAGGATGCATAGATTGCCAACAGTTTTGTACGCCAAGTAGCTTGATGTCAGTACTGTGCTCTTAAAAGGGTCCCAAAGGTTCAGTCTTTGTTCATTAAGGAAGTTTCAACTTTAGCAATCCATAGGGTCCTTTTGATGGTGGCCTGCTCTTACCGTTTGGAACAAGCTGTGCAGTGCGCCCATCATCATAGGTCGTAAACCTTTCCATGCGTCATCACAACGATGGTGAATACTCCATTCCATCTACTCGCAACCGTTCTTCTTCTTGGCTGGTCAGTGCGCCAACAATTTTGAAGCGGCGGCCCATGATCGTGGCTTGTGAGGTGTCGTGTCCACAAAAGTAGGCTTACAGTGAGCACACTTCCCGACAAGTCGGAGGAGTGTTAGACTTGAGACATCAGAGAGAGCCAGGTGAAGAAGGTTTGGTGTCTGACCAGGGACAATCCGTGGTTGTGTAAAGACATGCTGTGTCAAGTTGTACTCGTAGACGGTATAAAAGAGATAAGCTTCAAAGGAGTCCGGTGGAATATTATTGTGAGGAACGTCCTAGAATATGAAGGTGACGTTGAATTCACCTGTAAGAAACCAATTTGTTCCTCTGTTATGGGTTTGTACGCAAGGTAAAGGTGGGAGCAATGTCCTGCAGGTGCTCTGTAGACCACTCCGACCATCAGACATTGGTATCCGTCAGAAAATACGATACCAGAGCATTTCTGACATACCGTCCTTGTCACAATCAAGTTCGACAATGTGGGTCTTGAGGCAGTACTCTGCGCAGTACATTCCTCCGCCTCCAGACCTCCAACCAAAACGATCGCAACGAAGTAGCTGATATCCGGAAACATGAACCACCGAAGCAGATACATCAGGTGACAGGCTGGGTTCGATGAACGCCATTAGGACCAATTGCTTTTCAAAGGCAAAAAAAGAAATAACTAAATAAGGTATATATTCCTCGGCGATGTGAGGTGCAGTCCAACTATGTGGTCTGAGCAATGTGTATCACGGGATCGCAGAAAATAACCAATTTGTTCACTCTTTGTACAATGGATACAAAACGTGTGTTACAATATTTAGCAGGTTTAAGCTATAACAAATAAAGAAGCCAGGATAAATAACCATTGCAGGTTTATACAAATGTCCAGGTAACTTAATACGGCCGAGCGTGGAACCGTCCCCAGGTAACCTGCTTCCATGCAAGATATTACCTCGAAATGTTTCGCAGGCACATTCATACAATAAATTGCCGCGTGACGGTGTGGCATAGTATCCTATGAGCCGTCAGCTGTTTATCATATGGTGTGTTCTTTTCAGAGCTGCTTTAATACATGTAATATGAGCGATGAAGCTTCAGCGCAATCAGTCACGCGGAGCATTCAAATATGGCAAGTGTTTATAGCCAGTCAGTTGATTGCGATGTGTCTTGTATAGGTAGCTTCTTTCAAAACCTGCAAGTTATCATCCGTCACCACAAGAGATCAGCCCAAACGTGGCCAACCATAAGACTGCGAGTGTTCGCGTGTAGTGCCCGTTAAGCGTTATTTATATTTGAGGACCAGGAAGAAAGAGGATTTGCCTCCATCGTACTCATTGTTATTCTTACTAGGCAAAAAGTTAATATGTGCAGATCCGTTTTTTAGTTGCTTCTCGGGTTTCCAACTAGCAGAGAGCTAGCCTCATTCGGACTCAGTCTTCCGCAAAACGAACTGGAAAATAGGTCAAAAATGAACCAATTTCTGACAAACATTTACATAAACTAACGCTGCGCTTTAATGCTTTTAGTCTTGTAAGCAGAAGCGTTTTTATAATACTTAAAAACTTGCTGTTTGAATCCTTCATTAATTTACCTTGAACATTTACGTGCGCTCTGCGATTGTGAAGGTTATTTTATCAGGCGACATCATGGTCTTCGAGTCTCTAGTGGTTGACCTTATCAATCGCTATCTAGGCGACTACATAGAGTCCTTGAATGCTTCGCAACTGAATTTAGGCCTCCTTCGCGGTAATGCAAGGTTGGAAAATTTAGATGTCAAGGCAAACGCATTTGATGGTTTAAATCTCCCTGTTAAAGTTCTTGAAGGACATATAAGTCAGTGCATTTTCTATCCTTTTACTAGCAATAGGCTCCTTGACGCTTAAGATTCCTTTCAAAAATTTGTACACTGAACCCACCGTAGCTGAACTGGACGGACTGTATGTTCTTGTTGTTCCCAATTCTGGTGTGTGAGCTCTATTTCTTATCCGATAAATAGCTCTTAGGTATGATGAATCCAAGGAGAAGGTTTACAGACGAGAAGAGAAAGTAAAGAAGTTGAGAGATTTTGAAAATGCTCAGTCTCGGATTCACCCTTTCGGTATGTTGCTTTTCCATCTTCATGACCTCGCAGGTAAGGAGGATGATAAGAAGGAAGATACTTTCGGTGAGAAACTCGCTTCACAGATTATCAAAAACCTGCAAATCGAGATTAACAATGTGCATATTCGATATGAAGACAGTTACAGCATTCCTGGGCGAGTTTTTTCACTCGGAGTAACCCTCCATTTCCTTGTTTTCAAGGTGATTACTGCTGTCGCTCTCACCACTTTCGATTGTAGACGTACATTCCTGATGATCATGTAATTGCAACTAGGGATGAATCCGCAATGGAGTTCTTCAAGGTAAGTCTGGATTTGCTGTTGTTATCAAATCAGCGCGTTAACTTGGCAAGCCTTGGCATCTACTGGAACCACGACTCCGCTCTTTTTAGCGGTAAACCCAGGGGTCCTCTTTGGGTATGTTCTTATTTAGCTTGACTCCGATCCTGAAGACCGTCATGCGCAACACAATCGCAAAGCCCAGCTCCAACACTGGTTTCACCTACCGTGAGTAGTGGGTTTTCTCATTTTAACAGTTCTTCAGCCTATTTCGTCTTCAGCCACTCTTCATATTCACGCTCGACCAGAAAAGACTGATTATACTGTTCCACGATTCTCTATTGATGTCGACTTTTCGGAAATCCAATTGAACCTCGCTTTATGCCAATATCGCGACATCACTTCTTTCCTCGATGCCACCGATCGATTGATGGTACAGAGCAAGTACAGAAAATACCGCCCAGACATTTCGTTGAATAATCATGCCAAAGCGTGGTAAGTTTATTATTACTGTTATTATTGTTATTATTATTATTATCGCTATTCAACATCTTGGAAAATACTCGGAACCGATCGGGTACTTATGTTTTAGGAAGGATTTGAAACATCCGATTAGTATATTTTGTGGGGAACTTTTCGCTTATGACACAAAAGCTTCGTCTGGCCGAGTGAACCAATCGAGGATTGGTATAGCACTTATAGCGATCTATGTATGTATGTAATCTCAACAGTCTAGCAACTAGACACTGCCAACAAAAAACATGAAAATAAGCGGATAAGGGGCAGTCATCGCGTCATAATCGTAGTGGCATAGTAGTTGAAGGTGAGCAACGCACTTCAACTAATGTCACAAGAAGAAAAGAACCTTTTAGTAAAAAGTAAAACAAAACACGCTGATTATTCTCTTTTCTGTCATTTTCACTTTTTGAAGTCTTTAACATGTGAATCAATACAATACTATACACGATTCTTCCAGATTCCGCTTGCTGGCCATGTCCTCAAATGTGTTGAGCCATTGGCACTCCTCATCTTTGGGTCCCCATCCTGGAAGACCTACGGATCCAACAGCGGCTAGACACGACGTCAGCGATTTCATGTGTTGTCTCCATGTGGAAGGCTGACCACCACGCGGTCGCCTCAAGCCAGGTCCTTGACGAGCGAATAGAGCGCGACGCGGTAAAGGCTCAGCTGCCATGCATACGACGTGACCGAGCCACCTCAACTGCTGCAGCAAAACCAGTTTGTTGAAGGGAATACTCGCACTTCCTAAGACGCGACGTTGAACGTCATTACTATTAACTCGATGTTGCCACCAAACACGAGCAATTCTCCTTAAGCAACCGTCACCGAACGCAGACAGATGATGCTTATTCCACGCGAATCGGCCAGGACTCGCTCCCATATAACAACACTGAGCGAACAGATACGCTGTAAACGCGGCCCTTTAGCGAGTGAGACGTCGCGACGACGCCACAAGTGCCTCAGATTAGCAAATGCTGATCGAGCTTTCTCGATGCGAAGAGAAACTTCTTTGCTGATAGTGCCGTCAGCAGAAACACACTACCAAGGTAGACGAACTGTTTACCTGTTCAAGTTGTGTACCTTCGAGAGTGAGCACTGGAGTGGGTGAAAGCCAATTCTTGAGCAGTACTTTACACTTCGATGAGGCGAAGCTCATGCCATACTTAGATGCTTCAACCACCAAACAATCCAGAATTAGTTGTATACCCTGAGGATCGTCACCAAGTAAGGCGATATCATTAGCATGATCTAAGTCGGTCGCATGCTCACCCGGTAGAAGCTCTAGGCCAAAGTGTTGGCAACCTTCTAGAGCACTTGACAGAACGTCTTCGATTGCGAAGTTGAAGAGGAATGGGGACATAGGCAGCCCTGTCACTCATCGCTATTGACAGCGAATTGCGAGGAAAGCTTGCCATAGACCCTCACTCTGCCGGATGTATGAAGGTAAAGTGCTCGTAAGATGGCGGTATATTTTTCCGGCACCCCGTTCTTTATTAAGCAACGCCATAAAGCAGGTCGATCAACGAAGCCAAAAGCGGCATGTATGTCTAGGAATACAACGATAGTGGGCCTGTGGTTAATGTGGCGATGTTCAAGGGGCTGGCGAAGCGTGAAGACTTGATCAACGCATCTGCGGCCGGGACGGAAACCAGCTTGTTCTTCACGCTAGGATGATTCACGTATTGGGGATAGTCTACGGAGCAGAATGGCTGTCATTAGCTTGGAGGCAACCGAAATAAGACTAATCCCGCGATTATTTGCACATGAAGTGCGAGCGCCTTTCTTGAACATCGGGACAATAGATGATTCGCCCCAAGAGGAAGGCACTTTCTCTTCATGCCAAATTTTTGCGAGCAGCGCGGTCAGCTGGTTAATGATCGCCACACCGCCGTACTTGAATAGTTCCGGAGGAAGTCCGTCTGATCCGGCAGTCTTGAACCGCTTTAAGCGTCGGATTTTGAGGCAGACTTCCGCTTCGATGGGTGCATTCAGTGGGACGAGCGAGGGTGGACAACAAGGTGTACTGCATGTAGAGGCAAGTTGAACCGCAAATGAAAGTGCTCTGCCCAGCCGTCCATACGCCTCTGTTTGTTGGTGATCGGAGACTCGTTCACCTCACAAATGACCTCACTGGCACCAGGCTTCCTGAGACCAGCGGATCGAGTGAGTTGGAAAAGCTTACGAGTGTTGCCAGAGTGGGCAGCGGTCTCCATCTCGAAAGCACGCTCAGACCACCATACCTCGCGATCGTTGCCTAGGCTTTGCTTGAGCAGCCGGTTGGCAGAACGGCGCCGGTGGTTGCAATCTGATTCCGCCGGGATATCTTTGCAGCGTACGAACAGCTCTAGAGATCCAAGCCTTTAGGGGGCGTCGAGCTAGGCCGCAGCTAGACTGTCCGGAAATGGTCATCGCTTTCCGTATACAAATTCAGTGTTACTCTATGTCTTGCGGTGGATTGCAACTGAGTGCATATGCTAGTGAAGACTGATAGCTCGCCTGGACAGAGGAATGAGTTAATCTGTCTACATCAATCTTGCGGTGCTTCGTGTTTCGGGATCCTCCAAAACACATACAGATTTTCGCGTACAGCAGAGCATGATCTGAGTCAACGAAGGTGGACCAAAGGGACCTGCAGTCCAGTACGCTGCCACACCACTTGAAGCTAACTGGAATATGATCAATTTGAGACCACGGTTGTGTTGGCGATTGGGGACGCCACGTTGCGGAACGCTTCTTCGTACGTCTGAAGTTAGTGCTCGAGAGAAACACTTGGGTGTTTTCGCACAATGTGAGAAACCTCTTTCCGTTATTAGAACGGTTCTCATCGAGTGAGTGATGACCACCATGGTGACGTTCGTGTGGTAACAGGCGGCCAATCCGTGCATTAAAATCCCTGGCAAGGACAACGACATCCGAATTTTAACATTAGTCAAGTGCTGATATAGAGTGCGGTAGTATTCGTCCTTAACCGAGTCGCCACTGCAGTCATTTGGAGTGTGCACGAGGATCACAAATGAGTTGCGTCTCTTCGTGGTGCTTGTTGATTCTACCTGAAGCCGAACTGCACATAGTCGGCTGTTAATCAGGAACCAATCCAGTAGTGCCCCCTGGGCCTTGTCACTTGGTGCTATACCTACACCAGACAAACCCGCCGAGGCTGCTTTTAGATCTCCAGAAAGACGCAGGTGATATCTGGCTTCGTGGTCAGTGTGGGATATCAATGTAAGCACAATGCTGGGATCTTGCAACCGGGTTTCTGAAAGGCAGCGGATGTCGATTTCGAGGGGACTTTAGGGTGCGCGCTAAGCCGGCTTGCTGTCTACTCTTCATGGGTGTCCGAACGTTGAAGCACGCCAGACGGAACGAGGATCGGGGACGAAGGAGAGCCATAGGTTGAATTCCGTGTTCCACGGCGCAACCAGAAGCGCAGCCAGATTGTTGAACACATGAATCGGGTAACGGAAAATGAGGATTGTTAGCAAACAAACAATCGACGAGTGATAAACTCGCGTGAATGTGAGAAGCAGAAACAGTAGCTATTGTGCACGTTGTAGTACATTCCATGATTTTGTGAGAGAGCGTGATACTACCACTTTGCCTAAGCCGAAGTAGGGAGTTGACTTAGGGGACTCATCTTCGAGCCTTTGGCTAAATAACCTACCCGCAAGGTAGCGTGGCGAATTTAGGGAATTGTGCCCATTGGGAGGCGCTGACTGAATTTTCAGTTCATGTGTCTTTGTGTGGTTGATCACCAAACGGGCCCAATACTCCCCACGAAATCAGCACAATTGATGGAATACAATGTCCCACCGAAGTGGAGCACTGTCGCAGAACACTTCGCTGGAACGGGGTGCACCCGAACCACCCAGCTGGCACCACGAGGAGGTAGTTCGGCAAGCCAGTCAGTAGTTCGGCAAGCCAGTCAGTAATTCGGCAAGCCAGCCACTAGTTCAGCAAGCCTGCGAACTGGGATGATAATCGCGACGAATGGGATGTAGGCAGGTCAGTGGCGTTACAGGTCAGCGCATCACTCCAAAATGTGTATGGAACGGTCACAAGGGGTCCGCGTTACAAGGTCACACACATAATCCCTGTTAACGATGGGTGTGGGGATGATGTGTTATTCATTCTCTGCCCTGAATCCGTCTGCCGGCGCTCCTCAGACTGGTCGGGTTAAGACAGCTCGCCATACGCTAGGAAGTTCTGCACCGTCCATTCTGTTCACGCAGATGTTCAGCTTGCTAATCTCAACGGTCTCAGCAGTCAGCCTCTGGGGAGTTGATCGCAACCCTCTTCTAACGATTTCGATGTTATCCAAGTCGATCTCATGACCTGTCTCACTTGCATCGCTCCTGCCGAATTTCTTCGTAGTGCCCTATATTCAATCTCGTTTCTCGGTGACCGTGTTATACGTCTCTTGTATTCTATCCTTGTGCGTGGCTATCTGGTGGTTTGGCCGATATACACTTCAGTGCAGTCTTTACGGCTAATTTTTTAGACGCAATTGGTTGTCCTATCTGCAGGAAGCGGATTTTTCAAGTGCACCAGTGTGGAGCGGAGCGTTTGGCCTTTCTGGAAAATTACCCTTATGTTTTCTTTATTGAAGACCCTCCGGATGACCTCCGAAGTCCCATCTTTATACGGAATACTTACCGTCTCAATCCACTTCGTAGTACGCCTTAGTTGAGGATTTAAAATTCGTTGCAACTGGCGTGTCACTAACCGCCTCAGGTACCCACTACCATACAATTGGTTCACTGCTTCTTTCCGGGCTGTCTTCCTATCTTCCTCTGTGCACAGGATCTGGGCTCTGTGAAACAGAGGTGAAGCGATTCCAACATACATGCTTTGGGTGACCTGAACTATATTGGGGTACGCCATCTGTGTCCGTCGGCTTACGATATCTCGTTGTCTTTAGACTACTCCCATTCCTGTGAACGAAGCAGTCAAGGAATGGCAATGTTCCACTGCCAGATTCCAATTCTATAGTGCAAATTATAGTATCTGCAAGAGTGTTCAAGCGGTTTAGTAACTCGCCTTCCTTATCCCCTTTTATGATAACAAAGGTGTCATACGCCTAGCGCCACCAAATTTTCGGTGAGCTACAAGAGTTAGTCAGCTCTCTCCTTTCAAAGTCTTCCACGTACAAATTTGGCAATACTGGGGATATTAAAGGAATGCCATGCTACTTCATTGGTGTGCCTCGTTTTATCGAGAATATACCATTTATTTATTTACTGATAAGATTGGTATTCACCCAAAAACAGTGATTGGCCATCCAGCTTGTTGTGATTGTTTGCGCTTCACTGGTTGGGTTGACGCTAGGTAAATTACTGCGATTAGATTTCAATCTTGTTGATATTTAACACTTCTAACTGATGTTCTATACTTCCTAACAGTAAAATTTTGACTTTTACTGGGTACCACCAGCTTCTTATCAGTCTTCAGTCTATGCGCGTCTCCTTGTTTGATTCTTGATCCTCATCATCAACATTACTACATAAGCCATTTAGCTGTTGCTTCGCTGCCATGCTACCACAACAACGTACAAACAGGAGAGTAATAAGATGGAGAGAAAGCAGACTTAGCGGAAAACCTGAATGCCATAATCAAACATTTCTCATCAAGGTGACTACACCTCGTCAACAACATACCGCCACAAACAGCTGGCTATCGTGCGAAAACAAGGCGGTATCGGCAAAACAGTTTCCTTGCTGCTATTACTTCCCCGCGTCATAATCAGCCAGTACCCCGCAGATAACTCAGCACCATACTTAAAACTGCCGGTCCGACTAGGAGACGACAGCAGACACGCCACTGGTGTAGACTGTGAGCAATGTTCTTTAGAGTCTTGAGCCAGGCACAAGCCGAGCCCCATGGACTCCAACCTGGAAGGCGAGACGGCACCGAGTTTGGTCGTCAGGGACCTCATTTCTTACTGCTAAGTAAACTTTTGCCCACCTTGGACCTTGCGCTACCCTAATCTGGCAAACAACATAGGGCCGTGCTCCGTAACTGATGACCGGGCATACGTAGTAGATGTCCGAACCAACGTAAATTATTCAATGCTGTCCATTGTTCTAAGGAACTAGCACGATTATCCCTGCCAAGTAATCACCTACGCACATCATTGCGGACGCGCTGGTTCCATACGACACCACCATCGCTCCGCGGACAGTGACAGATTGAAGGGGCCAAGACTCTACCATACCTGAGGACGGCCATCACTGTGGTCTTGTAAACACGACTTGTCTGACGGATGGAAACTTCTTTCTGTCCCCAAACATGTTGCCGATTCGAGAACTCGATTCTGACTTTAGCAATACGTGAAATGTCTTCAGTGCCTGTGCGGCTATCGTTGCCGATGCAACTGCCAAGTTAACTGAATTGATCAACTACCTAGAGTTCCTCGCTATCAGGGGTCAAGTGATGGTCTAGTGGCCGGTGGTCCTATAACAACACTGCACTGTAATGATGCGAAGCGCATACCAACTAATGGGGCAACTCTAGAGAGGTTATTCAGGGTTAGTTGCGCCCCCCACAATTGTTAAAAGGCAAGACAATATCGTCCGCATAATCAATGTTACGGGTAGTCGGCGTTCAGGCCGAAAGCAGGGTTTTTTTAAAAACCCCGTGAGGGTTGTTGATCCTAATTTCAGATACGCAATACACGTCAATACCCAATGTGTCCAACGTATGCGCGCGTACAGCCTGTTGACCTATTTGTCTTAGAATGCAAACGTCGAATGCCGCCAGGGAAATGGGACAGCGTGGCCTTATAAGCGACTGTTGCCGATAGGCGTTCAGTAGATGGTGCGGGAAGGTAGCTGAAGATAGTAGAACTGCAGTGACCTTGCGGCTGTTTTCAATTAAACTGAGAATTATGGAAGGAAGGTTAGTAGTTGGGGTTAAGGTTGAGTAAGAGAGACAGATGGAAAAGAAAGGAAACACCACCAGTAGCATACCTTTGCTTATCCGCTCGGATGTTTGTAGTAGATGAGGCCACTCTGCGCGACGGCCGATGCAAGATGCGGTTTGAAGAAATAGTCAATGTTGTACGTAAGCTGAGATACTACCCTGGCCCCCCACACATCGACAGGAGGACATTTAAGATTCTCAACCAAAGCCTTTGGCTCAAAACTTGTCCGCAAGGCACCGGTGAGGGGGCAGGGATTTAGTTTTACAGAAATGGACTCCATCCCATCTCTGCGACTCCCAACCTGGAGTACCAAGAGACTCCGTTTTTCTGGTAGGAGTCGCGCTCAAGGCGCCGAGGGCATCACCCATTACGGCCCATTGGGTCAAAGAGGTACACGAACTGTCGCACCACCTTCAGATCCAGTCTCATTGTGACGGTTTTGTACCCCAGTGGCCTCTGTCCTTTTCTCTTCTCGCTATCAATCAGCACTAGACTAGCCAATTACTTATGGTGCACTATCCGATAAAACCTGTGATCTCCGTTAGGTATCCGCGCTGTTGAAAGAATTGATATTAAGTGATAAGCATTTTTAACTCTCCTGGCCGATTTCACCGTGGCATCCGGCTCAGTTGGTCGCCTCGCGCTAGTGTCCTGGTACTATTCAGCGTCGATATTTATTCCTCTATCTGGTCGCTGTCTTGTCACTTTATTATTCGGGACACTAAATGAGCTTCGCGGGTCGCCTAGGCTTAACCCCGTCATTCACGCACATTCTGCGCTTTATCGCGGAGCCTGCTGTCGAGGAGCCTGGTCTTGTAGTCATGTAAATCTGAACGGCTGATATGAGTTTGCAGATTTTTTTATTATTTCGTCTCATTGTTCGACATTCTTTATACTACACAATCCAAAACACTAAAACGATCTGGGATAGCTACATTTGTCGTCTTAAGGATGTGTTGATGCCGGATCCCCACTCTCTCACTCCCCTCTGGTTTCCCTTGTTCGAACATTTATTAGTTTAGTCTTTTGTATAGATAGGACAACATGAGCCTGTGTGAATGGGGCTATTTTCTGTGAACCGATGGGAAAGTGAATATTTTAGCTTCCAGTAAGCGGCCTAATGTACCTTTGCACATTGTCCATGCTAGGCCACAATCACTAAGCTAATGTACGAATTTTCACTTTCAGTCATCTTACTCTGCTTATCCTTACTTGTGTACTATGAGATATTAAGATACACCCGACACACTGGTCGTTAGACAGACCATCGTCTCATTCTTTCCATTTGATTAACATGATTAGAGGCTTCTCGGTTGCTCAGATACCTGCTCCATGTACCTGCTTGCCGCGTGGATCATTGAATATGCCCTATTGTCCTGCAAAAGTATGTGATTCAGCAAGCCTGCTTTTATCTTGGCATTATAAGGTGAAATCAACGATTCGTATGCTTGGAGTTGTATCTTAACTTTATCTTCTGTGATGAGGCCTGTTCCCTGAGACTGAATAGACTATTAGACAACCCCCGACATTTGCCTCTACGTCCTTTGCTTCCAGCCTCAATGTGACGGGTGGAAAGTTTGTCTTTTTCTTCTGAGTACATGTTTTCTATTTTCCTTCTTTCCTTGTACTGGCGACGCAAGTCACGACAACTGGGTATGTCAACAACCGTTGATCAACTAAAAGTATAGGAAGCTCACCTGTTGATTGATTCACCGAGCTCGATAAAATGATTGACTTAAAGGCTAATATACCACCATTCCGTTCTGGCACATGCAATGACCAGTTAAAGACTCTTTTTAGCAGATAGTCCTCCGCATGTGCAGAAAGGATCGGAAAACATGACCGCTAGCGGCTTGTGCCGCTAGCTAACAGCCTATGCCACTAAGTCATGTGGGTCGCTAAGATTAACCATACAGAGGATCTGTGTGAGTTGCCAGTAGTCCTTCTGGCAAATGCTACCTTACATTTCCGTACTCGCTGGCCTCCTTTTCCTGGTCATTCATTACCATTCGTTAAATCGCTCATATTTGTTTACACGAACTGGAAGTTTTTAAAGTTTTTTCTTATTATTTACCTCTTTGCTCATTTGTAAGCTTTCATTTTGCCACTGTGTGACAGACTTTGCTGTCCTTCTTCTTGGGACAGAACGACAAAAATGGCATGCAAAGTGCGACTGGGCACCGCGTCTTGTTGATGCCTTTCTATTATTGGAGCTTGCACTTGAATTGATTCACTCTGAATTTGTTATAGGTGGAATTATGCTATCACAGCCATACTGGAGGAGCATATCAGGAGAAAAAGTCGAATGTGGTCATGGGTTCACATAAAGGAGCATCGGCGCATTGCCAAGGAATACATTACACTCTACAAGAAACGACTGGGCAGCGATAAGCTCACCCGGGAACAGCAATTGCTGTTGGGGGTACGTTAGTGCACCTTGTTTATTGTGTTCATTAAATGTCCTCACCTATGTCATTTTTATCCTTTAATTCTAACAATTGATTCCATTTTCGCTTATTTGTACTCAGTTATAAAGCCTTCATCCCATATTCCCCATCGTTATCGGAGTAGAGTATTTACTCGGAACTACGTTCGTGCCAGTATACGTTTTGACTGATCGAAATGAGACAGTGAATTTTTTCTAGTTACTTGTTATCATTTCTCCATCAGGAGTATAGCTTTTACCTTGTTCTTTACTCTCAGCATGCCAAACCTCACTGAACTTTTCAAACGACTTTTTAATGCTCTGGCTGTCGCACATGATAATCAGCTGCGCCCTATCTGCTGCATCGAGCAGGGTGCATAAGGATGAGGAAGATACTGATCATGTCTCCCCGTCTTCTTACTCCCACTACTGCGCTTTTCTGTTCTTATCGTCACTTCCCAACTCCACTTTTCTTCCCCTATGTTCACTCCCCGATTCTCGACCCTCCTTTTTTCGCCTTTTTTTTTTTTCGCCTGCTAGCATTCTCCCTATAAAAAGCCACAAATGTCTGTTTAACAACACTGCGACTTGGCGGATGTGACTCGCCACTAAATAAAGTCACTGCCCCTTGCCCCTCCCTGAGAGGCATTGTACTTTAAGGGTGCGTTGGGCCCCTGGTCCTTCACGGACCAAAAGGCGTATGAACCATCTATTTGGTCGCCGGCTCCCAACGGGTTGCGAGGCCCTCACATCGCCCTGCTGTCTTGTAGGTTAGATCTTTAGTCAAAGGCTCGGGGTAGGGCCCCCTAAGACAACCCTCTACTTCGGCCTGGGCAACCGGGTAGTATGACGCCCACTGACGAATCATGGACCACACCGCTTACTACTGTTCCTGCTATGCCTATCTTCCGTGCTAACTCAAGTGCTCAACCTCCACTCACAGATCACCACACCTCCCGTCCTTCACCCACATGTACTCTTATGTCTTCTACGGTCACTGTCACAAACGATCCACGTCTCGCAACTGATGGAAGCAACAGCCAAACTCCCGGTTTTCAATGTCCTGTGATCGCAGCCGCCTCACTCCACCGAAGCTCCAGCTCTTCTTCGACCTGATCCTCCATACATCCTTGCAACGTTTAATGTCCAAACTTTGACGCAAATCGGACGACAAGCGTGTCTGGCCCGTACTCTTGAAACGCTTTCGGTAGACATCTGTTGCCTTTCAGAGACCAGATTACAGCGCCGTCATCAGAATGGCCTTTCCGGTAAACTCTGACGCCAAATACTACTTGCAGTTTTCCGGAGACCCAGAAGCTACCGCCACTGGTCAAACTGGTGTTGGGGTTGTACTGTGTGCCAGGGTTGAATCAGCTCTGCTTGACCGGATCTCAGTCAACAGTCGGCTATGTGCAGTCAGACTACGAGGTTCATGTAACGTAAGCAGGCGTCGAGACGTTAAGCGTGCCTTGTTTATCGTCTCCGCCTACGCCCCTACAGACTGCAGCCCGGATGCGGTTAAAGATAGCTTTTACCAGCAACTACATGAACTTCTGCGTTCCTCCAAAAGGACTGATATAATCATTCTTGTCGGGGACTTTAATGCACGGGTTGGCCGCCTTCCACCAAGCGAGCACCATCTTGGGGGTAGCTTTGGTCCCGGTGGCAGTCGATCAGACAATGGCGACAGATTGCTTGCTCTTTGCTCTGATCATCGCTTGTTTCTTTCGAGCACTAGTTTTTGGCACTCGAGGAGACACGCTGTCACCTGGCGCCAGCCCTCACAAACGCAAGAGTGCTCCCAGCTTGACCACATAGCAATTAGCTACAGATGGCGCGGAAGCGTAACGGACTGCCGATCATACTAATCAACTTTCCTAGACTCCGATCACGCATTGGTTCGTGCTAAGATTTGCATGCGTTTTGGAGGATCACCTAAGCGCGCTCACTACCGACCGGACGTCGCGAACCTACAAAACCCTGCGATCTTAACCAGGTACCAAGCCTCACTGTCAATCTTGCTTGGCTCAACTACTGACGGTGATCTCGATTCGCAGTGGGTGCATACCAAAGATGCCTTAGTTTCTACCAGTATCGACACTTGTGGAGTTACCCGTCACCCACCGAAACATTGGATTTCCGCCGACTCCTTGGCGCTGATGGACAAACGCCGCTTGATACCGTCGGATTCCAGACACAGGGAAGAACGCCAATACCTTGGTCGAGAGTTGCGCAGGAGTCTGCAAATGGACCGCGAAGCTTGGTGGTGTGAACGTGCTAGGGAGATGGAGCTTGCTAGTCTCTGTGGTAATACCAGGAAACTCTTCCATCTCATTCGAGTCACCGAAGATGTTCGATCTGGTATAAGTGAAACAATATGCGAAGAGGATGGCACCTTAATCACCAATCTTCAACGACGGTTGGAACGATGGGCCGAACATTTTGGCTCGCAGTTTTGTTGGCCCCCAGCTCCATCTTCTACCTCTGGCGCTCGCGCTGGAGCCGAGTGTTCTACCCCCACAGACCCTCCCTCTTCCCAGGAAATCGAGCAGAAGCTCCGACACATGAAGCGTTATAAAACCCCCGGCCCTGATGTTCTACCTTCGGCTCTTTTTAAAGATGGTGGCGCATCTATGGTTCGAGAACTCACCGCTTGTTCTCGAAAATTTGGTCGAAAGAGAAAGTTCCGTCATCTTGGGGTGAATCGATAGTCGTCTCTATCTTCAAAATGGGCATGCGCACGTTCTGCTCCAACTACAGAGGAATAAGTTTAGTCCCCGTCGTTTGCAAGCTGCTAGTGTCCATCATACTTCGCAGACTATCCCAAACACGCGAATCGTTGCAACGAGAAGAACAAGCTGGGTTTCGCCCTGGTCGCGGCTGCATCGATCAAATCTTCACACTTCGCCAAATCCTCGAGCTCCGCCATGTGTATCAGAGGCCAACGATTACTGTGTTCCTGGATATCCGTGCAGTCTTCGATTCTGTCGATCGTACAGTACCGTGGTATTGCCTACTGAGGAATGGTGTCCACGAGAAGTTCGTCTCCATACTGCGCTCTCTCTATAGTCTGACCTCGGGCAGGGCTAGAGCTTATAGCAAGCTTTCGCCTACCTTTGTGGTCTCCAGTGGAGTTTGACAAGGATACCCTACCTCTCCGTTCCTATTCAACTTTGCCATTGAGGATGTCCTGAAGAACGCTCTGGGCGATTCGTTGAACGCTGGCGTTGAGCTCCTCCCAGGTAGTCGAGTTGTTGATTTGGATTATGCTGATGATATCGTCTTGTTGGGTGACGATCCACACGTCGTCCAACTTGCATTAAACCGCTTGGCGATTGAAGCACCAAAGTACGGTATGTACTTTTCGCCATCCGAATACAAGGCTCTCTTCCAAGACTGGCAGGTGCCTTTGCCTGCACTCACTCTTGCTGGTGAGACACTGGAGGTTATGGAGAGCTTTGTCTACTTGGGAAGTTGCATCACTGTTGGCGGGGCTGTTGGAGACGAGATTTCGATGCGCATCTCGAGAGCACGCCTCGCTTTTTCTAGGCTGAGACATTTGTTGCGTCGCCACGACATTCGTCTCTCCATCAAAAGGCGGGTCTATTGTGCAACTGTTCGTGCTGTGCTGTTGTACGGATGCGAGACCTGGCCGATTCGAAAAGATGACTTGCGCAGGCTATCCGTCTTTGAGCACCGCTGTCTGCGGTCCATTGCCCGTGTGTGGTGGCAGCACCAGGTAAGCAATGTGGAAGTTAGACAGCGTGTCTTGGGACGTGGGAGCCACTCGCTCGAGGAGCTCATCTCACTGCATCAACTGCGGTGGTTGGGACACGTATTGCGCATGCCTGTCCAGCGTTACCCGCGTCGTGCGTTGTCTGCGGTTGCTGGACAGGGCTGGAAGAGACGGTCTGGCGGACAGCCTACAACATAGAGAAGCCGCATGAAAAAGCTGACGAAACAGTTGGCTTCGGTCGGACGTTATCGACTACCTAGTTGGGGTCCGAGAGATGCGGATACTTGCTGGTTGAAGACCTTGGAAGCCATAGCTCAAGATCGAAGTTAATGGCGGACGTGTGCATCGGTGTGTTGCGGTGTCCCTTCTTCCTCCCCCTAAAAAAACAAACTGAAAAGATGTCAAACTGTGAGTGGTAAAATAGACAAAAAAAGCATTTGTTGTTGCTCTTTTCTTATTATTCATACTGTTTTCCTATTCAGCCATGATTCTGATGACACAATGTCTGTACCATAGATTGTGTTTAATATATATATATATATGTATATATATACATATATATATACATATATATATATATATGTATATATATATATATACTCGACCCTCCTCCATCTTACTTCAAGGGAATTCGTCTTCTGGTTTTGACTCACACGCAATCGCAGGGTCTCTCCGGTCCAGCCGACACCTCCATGTTCAACCAAGTGGACAACGTCAGTTTATCCGTTTCTCTTTGGAGCCCTCGATCCTCGCTAGGACTGTCATGCCTCAACGTGCGTCCTTTGTCACATGTTAGCCAACTGGTAGCACCCGCAGCTCCGTAACCTTAAGGATCACAATCCTGCCTTAACCTGAGAGCGCGGGCTCGACCCTGCGTGGGGACCGCGCAATCTTCGCCGTATCTGTAGCCCACGTGCGACTGATAGTGGTTGCGCGGCGTGGAGACATCGGTACTGTGTACCGGCATACTCTTGATGCATTGTTTTATCTGCCCGAATACTAGAGACTCCATCGATCTATATCTGCTGCTTATCAGAAAGCCGCCTACAAGATTCTAGCTCTGTGCTGGTCCTACAATCCCCTTCATGTAGCACTGGCAACACTCATTGCGGCTATCTGGAGGTAACGTAGCTCCAAATACCTGTACAACCAATGTGGGCACTGCTCTAAGCCGCTGCGCAAAAGTTGCTTTGCTCGATTGGACCCCAGTCAACAGCCGGATGCGTGCCTTCAGCTTGGCTGGCTCGTTCAAAGTTTGAAG